GCGGGTAGAGGACGTCGTCGCAGAAGTCAACAGGGAGTGGTTAGAACTCCTGAAGTTATGGCTGCTCGTAGGAAACGCGTTTGGCAATTAATGGCTAAAAAGGAATTGGGTAGATGTCAAAGAGCCAAGATTAATAATCACAAAGAAGTGGTACAAAATTGCAAACGTGTGGCTACCATGTGTATGAAAGTGGTACGACAGAGAGCCATGCATTCACAAAAGGTTATGAAAGAAACTGTTTGGAGGGCTAAACGTCTCACCAGAGAAATGTTGTCTTATTGGAAACGTTATGAAAGGGTAGAGCGAGATACACGACGCAGAATGGAAAAGGAAGCGGAAGAGCAGCGTAAAATGGATGTGGAAATTATAGAAGCTAAAAGACAGCAAAGAAAACTTAATTTTCTTATTACCCAGACCGAGCTATATGCTCATTTTATGTCCAAGAAACTAGGCCAGGGTACAGAGGAAGAACAACTGCGTATTTTGAACCAGTTAGATGAAGAAGTTAATCCTCGTTTGGCGGCCTATGATGACTACGATGCCGATCAAATGAAACAATTGGCTCAACAACATGCTGAGGAGGCTTTTTCAAATGATCGACGCAAAACTAAACAATTTGATGTGGCAGCTGGTGTGGAAAGGAATTTAGGTCATGCTGTGGTCAAAAAAGAGGAAGGTGATGTAGATTTTATTAAAGAGGAAGATAAACCTGATTCTTTATTGCCGGAAAAGACTCAGGCAGATCTGCCACAACCCGCTATATTTAAGGGCACCTTGAAGGCGTATCAGATTAAAGGTATAACATTTGATTTAAATCTAAACTGAACCTAGGAATACTTATAAATACTTTAATTTCTTGTAGGCATGACTTGGTTGGCAAATCTTTATGATCAAGGCATTAGCGGTATACTCGCCGATGAAATGGGTCTAGGTAAAACCGTACAATCTATAGCATTCCTCTGTCATATAGCTGAAAAATATGGTGTTTGGGGCCCTTTCTTGGTTATCTCCCCTGCCTCTACTTTACATAATTGGCAACAGGAAATGGCTAGATTTGTTCCCGATTTCAATGTGGTGCCCTATTGGGGTTCTCCTAATGAGCGAAAAATTCTACGGCAATTTTGGGAACAAAAAGATTTACACACCAAAGATGCCAGTTTTCATGTAGTCATTACCTCGTATCAACTCATAGTCTCGGATTACAAATACTTTAATCGCATTAAATGGCAGTATATGGTTTTGGATGAGGCACAAGCTATCAAAAGTGCCACTTCAATGCGTTGGAAGTTGTTATTAGGTTTCAACTGTCGCAATCGTTTGCTGCTTAGTGGAACTCCCATACAAAACAGTATGGCTGAACTATGGGCTCTACTGCATTTCATTATGCCCACGCTATTCGATTCTCATGATGAATTCAATGAATGGTTTTCCAAGGACATTGAATCACATGCTGAAAACAAAACTGGCATAGATGAGAAACAAATCTCTAGACTGCACATGATTTTAAAACCTTTTATGTTGAGACGTATTAAAAAAGATGTGGAAAATGAGCTGTCGGATAAAATTGAAATTATGGTTTATTGTCCGCTAACCATAAGGCAAAAATTATTGTATATGGCTTTGAAACAAAAAATACGCATAGAAGATTTACTCAATTTGACCCGGGGTGGTGGTTCCTCCTCCTCCGATGGACATCATGTAGATCGCAACTTTACTTCGAATCTTATGAATCTCGTTATGCAATTTCGTAAAGTGTGCAATCATCCCGAATTATTTGAGCGTCGTGATTGTAAAAGTCCATTCGCAATGAAGTGTGAGGAGTATGTTATTCCTCGCTTAGTGTTTGAGGATGGATTGCTGTATCGTGCGCTGCTCAGTAAGAGGCATTTATTGTATAATCGGTAAGTAGAAATTAAAATAATAAGTTCAGTTCTAGTTCGGTTCTACTTGAGCTTTAGTTGAGTTTCAGTTCAGTTCAAGTTCAGTTCTAGTTCAGTTCTAGTTCAGTTCTAGTTCAGTTCTAGTTCAGTTCTAGTTCAGTTCTAGTTCAGTTCTAGTTCAGTTCTAGTTCAGTTCTAGTTCAGTTCTAGTTCAGTTCTAGTTCAGTCCAGTTCAGTTCTAGTTCAGTTCTAGTTCAGTTCTAGTTCAGTTCTAGTTCAGTTCTAGTTCATTTCTAGTTCAGTTCTAGTCAGTTCTAGTTCAGTTCTAGTTCAGTTTAGTTCTAGTTCAGTTCTAGTTCAGTTCTAGTTCAGTTCTAGTTCAGTTCTAGTTCAGTTTTAGTTCAGTTCTAGTTCAGTTCTAGTTCAGTTCTAGTTCAGTTTAGTTCTAGTTTAGTTCAGTTCTAGTTCAGTTCTAGTTCAGTTCTATGTCAGTTCTAGTTCAGTTCAGTGCTAGTTCAGTTCTAGTTCAGTTCTAGTTCAGTTTCTAGTTCAGTTCTAGTTCAGTTCTAGTTCTAGTTCAGTTCTAGTTCAATTCTAGTTCAGTCTAGTTCAGTTCTAGTTCAGTTCTAGTTCAGTTCTAGTTCTGGTTAGGTCTAGTTCTAGTTTCGTTCTCTGTTCAGTTCTAGTTCAGTTCTAGTTCAGTTCTAGTTCAGTTCTGTTCAGTTCTAGTTCAGTTCTAGTTCAGTTCTAGTTCAGTTTAGTTAGTTCTAGTTCAGTTCCAGTTCAGTTCTAGTTCAGTTCCAGTTCAGTTCTAGTTTCAGTTCTAGTTCAGTTCTAGTTCAGTTATAGTTCAGTTCTAGTTCAGTTCTAGTTCAGTTCTAGTTCAGTTCTAGTTCAGTCTAAGTCAGTTCTAGTTCAGTTCTAGTTCAGTTCTAGTTCAGTTCTAGTTCAGTTCTAGTTCAGTTCTAGTTCAGTTCTAGTTCAGTTCTAGTTCAGTTCTAGTTCAGTTCTAGTTCAGTTCTAGTTCAGTTCTAGTTCAGTTCTAGTTCATTTCTAGTTCATTTCTAGTTCAGTTCTAGTCAGTTCTAGTTCAGTTCTAGTTCAGTTCTAGTTCAGTTCTAGTTCAGTTCTAGTTCAGTTCTAGTTCAGTTCTAGTTCAGTTCTAGTTCAGTTCTAGTTCAGTTCTAGTTCAGTTCTAGTTCAGTTCTAGTTCAGTTCTAGTTCAGTTTTAGTTCAGTTCTAGTTCAGTTCTAGTTCAGTTCTAGTTCAGTTCTAGTTCAGTTCTAGTTCAGTTCTAGTTCTTCTAGTTCAGTTTAGTTCTAGTTCAGTTCTAGTTCAGTTCTAGTTCAGTTCAGTTCTAGTTCAGTTCTAGTTCAGTTCTAGTTCAGTTCTAGTTCAGTTCTAGTTCAGTTCTAATTCAGTTCTAGTTCAGTTCTAGTTCAGTTCTAGTTCAGTTCTAGTTCAGTTCTAGTTCAGTTCTAGTTCAATTCTAGTTCAGTTCTAGTTCATTCTAGTTCAGTTCTAATTCAGTTCTGGTTCAGTTCTAGTTCAGTTTCTAGTTCAGTTCTAGTTCAGTTCTAGTTCAGTTCTAGTTCAGTTCTAGTTCAGTTCTAGTTCAGTTCTAGTTCCGTTCTAGTTCAGTTCTAGTTCAGTTCTAGTTCAGTTCCTAGTTCAGTTCTAGTTCAGTTCTAGTTCAGTTCTAGTTCAGTTCTAGTTCAGTTCTAGTTCAGTTCTAGTTCAGTTCTATGTTCAGTTCTAGTTCAGTTCTAGTTCAGTTTTAGTCCAGTTCTAGTTTCAGTTCTAGTTCAGTTCTAGTTCAGTTTAGTTTTGTTCTAGTTCAGTTCTAGTTCAGTTCTAGTTAAGTTCTAGTTCAGTTCTAGTTCAGTTCTAGTTCAGTTCTAGTTCAGTTCTAGTTCAGTTCTAGTTCAGTTCTAGTTCAGTTCTAGTTCAGTTCTAATTCAGTTCTAGTTCAGTTCTAGTTCAGTTCTAGTTCAGTTCTAGTTCAGTTCTAGTACTAGTTCAGTTCTAGTTCAGTTCTAGTTCAGTTCTAGTTTAGTTCAGTTCTAGTTCAGTTCTAGTTCAGTTCTAGTTCAGTTCTAGTTCAGTTCTAGTTCAGTTCTAGTTCAGTTCTAGTTCAGTTCTAGTTTAGTTCAGTTCTAGTTCAGTTCTAGTTCAGTTCTAGTTCAGTTCTAGTTCAGTTCTAGTTCAGTTCTAGTTCAGTTCTAGTTCAGTTCTAGTTCAGTTCTAGTTCAGTTCTAGTTCAGTTCTAGTTCAGTTCTAGTTCAGTTCTAGTTCAGTTCTAGTTCAGTTCTAGTTCAGTTCTAGTTCAGTTCTAGTTCAGTTCTAGTTCAGTTCTAGTTCAGTTCTAGTTCAGTTCTAGTTCAGTTCTAGTTCAGTTCTAGTTCAGTTCTAGTTCAGTTCTAGTTCAGTTCTAGTTCAGTTCTAGTTCAGTTCTAGTTCAGTTCTAGTTCAGTTCTAGTTCAGTTCTAGTTCAGTTCTAGTTCAGTTCTAGTTCAGTTCTAGTTCAGTTCTAGTTCAGTTCTAGTTCACTTCTAGTTCACTTCTAATTCAGTTCTAGTTAAGTTCTACTTCAGTTCTAGTTCAGTTCTAGTTCAGTTCTAGTTCAGTTCTAGTTCAGTTCTAGTTCAGTTCTAGTTCAGTTCTAGTTCAGTTCTAGTTCAGTTCTAGTTCAGTTCTAGTTCAGTTCTAGTTCAGTTCTAGTTCAGTTCTAGTTCAGTTCTAGTTCAGTTCTAGTTCAGTTCTAGTTCAGTTCTAGTTCAGTTTTAGTTCAGTTCTAGTTCAGTTCTAGTTCAGTTCAGTTCTAGTTCAGTTCTAGTTCAGTTCTAGTTCAGTTTTAGTTCAGTTCTAGTTCAGTTCAGTTCTAGTTCAGTTCTAGTTCAGTTCTAGTTCAGTTCTAGTTCAGTTCTAGTTCAGTTCTAGTTCAGTTCTAGTTCAGTTCTAGTTCAGTTCTAGTTCAGTTCTAGTTCAGTTCTAGTTCAGTTCTAGTTCAGTTCTAGTTCAGTTCTAGTTTAGTTCTAGTTCAGTTCCAGTTCAGATCTAGTTCAGATCCATTATAGTTTTTGTGTCATTTCAAAATTAAAGTAAAACCACGAGTTTAAACTGTTTAAAATAAAATTTTATTAACGACAACAAAATAGTTTTCTTAAAATACCTCTAGACTCTTTACTGCTGCAACTACTTGAAACATTAGAATAATTGTCTATTTCATTTATATTCTTTAATGATGCTTCTTTCAATTTAACTCGATTTGGTTTAGATGTAGATTTTCGTTTTCTAACTTCTTTTTTAACACTTGACGATGAGCAGGCGGTAGGAGCGACTGTTAAATTGTTATGAAGATTTTGAGTTTCTATGCCCAAATTTCTAGTTTGTTGAGGTCTACCACTAACAATACTCCTTTGAAAAGTTGCTGAAAATGTTGCCACTCCTTCATTTAACTGCATCAATTGCATAGAATCGGCCAATTTCGACCAATACAAATCAGTACGATTGGGATTGTAACGCATACGTGAGAACATGGCCAAATTAGCGGGTACTTCGACATTTTCCTCATACATCAGAGGTATTACCTTACGTATCTCATGCTTTATTTGCAAAGCTTGGGCGTAATTGACAAAGAAACGATTTTCTGGACTTCTGGTAAATTCTTTAGTTAGAATTGCTATTAAAAAATTACAACGTTCACGTATTAATTCCATTAATGCGATATGTTCAAAAGGTATGCCAAATAGTAGATCATCTTTTAAACAAAATTTAAAATTATAAACAGGATTATTTTGTAGCTTAAGCAAAATCTCTAAAGCATAATCGTAGTTCATATCGGCGTATAAGACAAAGGCATCATATTTGAGCAAAGGTAGGCCTTGTTTATAACGTTGAACATCGCTGCTTGTTAAAACTTTAGATTCCGATTCGTAAGTAAAACTTTCACTCTCACTTACTGGTTTCTCACTTCTGGAAGCAGAATTTATTGAACTGTTTTCATTAGTTGAGAATGGTATTTGTACTAAATTATCTTCTTTAGTTACAGCACTGTTTTCATTTATTTTGCTTGGAAGTTGTACTACTTTATTTGGTGTTTGCTTACAAGTTGAACTAGTCGTTTGTTGTTCTTTTGATTCTTTATAATTACGAAAATCGTGTAAGAAATTCTCTTGCAAATCTTCGATCACATGCCAACGATCAATAAGTCCTAAGAATGTTATTAAGTTACCAAATGTCGCTGCATCTGGTTTATTTTCACACCATAATTCTATGACTTTCTTTAAAGGATCATTGCTGACCATATTATTGACATCATACAAATTTCTCTGCTCTGTTAAGGTGGCCAAACCACGCCAATCACGTTCATAACCATTATCTGAATGTAGAATCATTAAATTGTTTAGTAAATTTGACAGCTTTTTCAAAGTATCTGTACTCAAAGCTGTCAAGGGAGCCTCTTTGAAAACTTTATCCTCGAATTCCTTGCTTATGAATTGTAAGTTTTCTACAGTATCTCTAGCTGTAGAAGATATATTCCTATTTTGCACCATTTTTTTTTATATTAACACTTCCTCTTCGCATATGTTTCTTTTCTAAATTGTTTTAAATGTTTTGTACTCAACTAATTATTATTAAATGCATTGTTTTCATTGCACTTGTTTTGTTTTTTCTCAGTTGAAAACGTTTATTTTTTATTTGATAATGCAAATTTTTATTTATTTAAAATATGCACTTGTTATTAAATTAAAAAAAAAAATACTCAAATTGGCGCAATTGTTGTTGATACAACAATCATGACCATCAAACGAAAACTGTCTCAAAAAGAGAAACTTTTAATAATTTTTATTGTGTGTTGGTTTTTCAAGTTCAAGAGTTCATTTAAATTTTATTTTGTATGAGCGAATGAATTAAAGTATATTATCAGTATTGATGAAAATTGTGCGGTTTTATTTGTTTAATAAATTATTATTTAATAGTAGAACAAATGTAAACAATATGAAATGTTATTAATTAATAAGTATTTTATGCAGTTTGAGACGACTTAACATAAATACTTCTTTAAATTCCGTTCTAATTGAGTTTTTGTTGATTTCTAGTTCAGTTCTAGTTCAGTTCTAGTTCAGTTCTAGTTCAGTTCAAGTTCAGTTCTAGTTCAGTTCTAGTTCAGTTCTAGTTCAGTTCTAGTTCAGTTCTAGTTCAGTTCTAGTTCAGTTCTAGTTCAGTTCTAGTTCAGTTCTAGTTCAGTTCTAGTTCAGTTCTAGTTCAGTTCTAGTTCAGTTCTAGTTCAGTTCTAGTTAGTTCTAGTTCAGTTCTAGTTCAGTTCTAGTTCAGTTCTAGTTCAGTTCTAGTTCAGTTCTAGTTCAGTTCTAGTTCAGTTCTAGTTCTAGTTCAGTTCTAGTTCAGTTCTAGTTCAGTTCTAGTTCAGTTCTAGTTCAGTTCTAGTTCAGTTCTAGTTCAGTTCTAGTTCAGTTAGTTCAGTTCTAGTTCAGTTCTAGTTCAGTTCTAGTTCAGTTCTAGTTCAGTTCTAGTTCAGTTCTAGTTCAGTTCTAGTTCAGTTCTAGTTCAGTTCTAGTTCAGTTCTAGTTCAGTTCTAGTTCAGTTCTAGTTCAGTTCTAGTTCAGTTCTAGTTCAGTTCTAGTTCAGTTCTAGTTCAGTTCTAGTTCAGTTCTAGTTCAGTTCTAGTTCAGTTCTAGTTCAGTTCTAGTTCAGTTCTAGTTCAGTTCTAGTTCAGTTCTAGTTCAGTTCTAGTTCAGTTCTAGTTCAGTTCTAGTTCAGTTCTAGTTCAGTTCTAGTTCAGTTCTAGTTCAGTTCTAGTTCAGTTCTAGTTCAGTACTAGTTCAGTTCTAGTTCAGTTCTAGTTCAGTTCTAGTTCAGTTCTAGTTCAGTTCTAGTTCAGTTCTAGTTCAGTTCTAGTTCAGTTCTAGTTCAGTTCTAGTTCAGTTCTAGTTCAGTTCTAGTTCAGTTCTAGTTCAGTTCTAGTTCTAGTTCAGTTCTAGTTCAGTTCTAGTTCAGTTCTAGTTCAGTTCTAGTTCAGTTCTAGTTCGTTCTAGTTCAGTTCTAGTTCAGTTCTAGTTCAGTTCTAGTTCAGTTCTAGTTCAGTTCTAGTTCAGTTCTAGTTCAGTTCTAGTTCAGTTCTAGTTCAGTTCTAGTTCAGTTCTAGTTCAGTTCTAGTTCAGTTCTAGTTCAGTTCTAGTTCAGTTCTAGTTCAGTTCTAGTTCAGTTCTAGTTCAGTTCTAGTTCAGTTCTAGTTCAGTTCTAGTTCAGTTCTAGTTCAGTTCTAGTTCAGTTCTAGTTCAGTTCTAGTTCAGTTCTAGTTCAGTTCTAGTTCAGTTCTAGTTCAGTTCTAGTTTAGTTCTAGTTCAGTTCTAGTTCAGTTCTAGTTCAGTTCAGTTCTAGTTCAGTTCAGTTCTAGTTCAGTTCTAGTTCAGTTCTAGTTCAGTTCTAGTTCAGTTCTAGTTCAGTTCTAGTTCAGTTCTAGTTCAGTTCTAGTTCAGTTTTAGTTCAGTTCTAGTTCAGTTCTAATTCCGTTCTATTTCGGTTCTTGTTCAACTTCTAGGTTGTTTTATACCTAAAGTAGGGTATAAATTTTCTATTAGCATTTAAATTACATTAAATTGATCAAAAAAGTTAAGCAAGGAATAAACAGTATGAGTCAGATGCAGATTAAAACGTTGTCTAATAATAACAAGAGGCGTGTTCGGAGAAACAAATATCGACATGTAGTACATACATATAAATGTGTACGTCTTCATATTTTCTGTTTTTTTTGAAATATGAAAAATTTTGTGTATAGTTTAAATTAAAAGTTATTCACTGTGATGTCACTGAATGTTTCGATATGATTTTACAATATGGAATTACTTCTAAAAAACCTTAATTTATATATTTAATACCAATTTAAGTTAATGAATGGTTTTAACTATTTTATTTTCTTTCAGCTTTTCCATTTTTAAATCCGATCACCTGCATCATTCCATGTTTAAAGAACCGAAAGATAAGTCTGATTTAAAACCCAATGAATATTATAAACGTTATGTGGATTTGAATGCTAATAATGAAGGCTGCTTTAGTTTTACCCGTCTATGTGATCTCTCTCCTAAAGATATGGAGGATACCACCATAAATGGCTTAATAACATTGTAAGTTCACTTTAGTTATTAATAAGAAAATATTTATAACTAACTTTGTCATGTTTTCAGATTACAACATTACCTTAAAAAAGTATTACTCTACCGCTTATGGGCCTATAGACGGCAATGGTGGTCAGATTATTATAATTCAACGAAAATGCAATTGTTAGAACCCACTTTAGAGAATCCCTTAAATAAAGAGTATTTAATGGAAGATAGTGTTATAAGACAATTGTTGTTTACGGGAAGGGTGAGTTTAAATCTATCCAAGATTTCTACATGTATTCTATTTATCCTTTTATTAATTTTGAATAGACTTCCACCGAGAGCACCATTTACGCTTATGGCGATTACAAAACCTACAACATCCAAGAAACCATCGAACATCGCGTTATACGCAGTAAATACAAACAAAATATTGAAGAGGCTGATATTAAAAATGAAATGTTAGACGAAGCTGAATCGGAATTGATTATAAATGCTGCCGCTGCCAATTCGGCAAATAAACAAAAACTTAGTAAAGAACCTTTAAGACTACTGCCAGAATTTGAGCATAAACAACGTTTGCCTCAGTATTACCAATGTGAACCATTGGAGATGCCTAGATTTTTATATGGTTTGAATCATAAGATAAATGCCTACAAAAGGCAACTATAGTGAGTAATATATGTTCGAATTTGATTTTCATTTGAAATTTTCGAATTTTCATTTGAAATTTTCGAAAATTTAATTTTTAAAAATTAAATCCTTCGGATAGAAAGAACTAGAACTGAACTAGAACTGAACTAGAACTGAACTAGAACTAGAACTGAACTAGAACTGAACTAGAACTGAACTAGAACTGAACTAGAACTGAACTAGAACTGAACTAGAACTGAACTAGAACATGAACTAGAACTGAACTAGAACTGAACTAGAACTGAACTAGAACTGAACTAGAACTGAACTAGAACTGAACTAGAACTGAACTAGAACTGAACTAGAACTGAACTAGAACTGAACTAGAACTGAACTAGAACTGAACTAGAACTGAACTAGAACTGAACTAGAACTGAACTAGAACTGAACTAGAACTGAACTAGAACTGAACTAGAACTGAACTAGAACTAACTAGAACTAACTAGAACTGAACTAGAACTGAACTAGAACTGAACTAGAACTGAACTAGAACTGAACTAGAACTGAACTAGAACTCAACTAGAACTGAACTAGAACTGAACTAGAACTGAACTAGAACTGAACTAGAACTGAACTAGAACTAACTAGAACTGAACTAGAACTGAACTAGAACTGAACTAGAACTGAACTAGAACTGAACTAGAACCTAGAACTGAACTAGAACTGAACTAGAACTGAACTAGAACTGAACTAGAACTGAACTAGAACTGAACTAGAACTGAACTAGAACTGAACTAGAACTGAACTAGAACTGAACTAGAACTGAACTAGAACTGAACTAGAACTGAACTAGAACTGAACTAGAACTGAACTAGAACTGAACTAGAACTGAACTAGAACTGAACTAGAACTGAACTAGAACTGAACTAGAACTGAACTAGAACTGAACTAGAACTGAACTAGAACTGAACTAGAACTGAACTAGAACTGAACTAGAACTGAACTAGAACTGAACTAGAACTGAACTAGAACTGAACTAGAACTGAACTAGAACTGAACTAGAACTGAACTAGAACTGAACTAGAACTGAACTAGAACTGAACTAGAACTGAACTAGAACTGAACTAGAACTGAACTAGAACTGAACTAGAACTGAACTAGAACTGAACTAGAACTGAACTAGAACTGAACTAGAACTGAACTAGAACTGAACTAGAACTGAACTAGAACTGAACTAGAACTGAACTAGAACTGAACTAGAACTGAACTAGAACTGAACTATAACTAAACTAGAACTGAACTAGAACTGAACTAGAACTGAACTAGAACAAAACTAGAACTGAACTAGAACTAAACTAAAACTGAACTAGAACTGAACTAGATCTGAACTAGAACTGAATAAAAATAAAATTCGAATTTTGATCCAAAATTTTTAAAAATTTTGAAGACAAATTTTCGAATAAATAACACCGATATTTATCGCATAATTATTATTGTCCGAAGATTTTGGTATAAAATGTGCAAAATATTAAAACTAAAATCTGAAATTTTTCTTAAATTGAAAATTCTTATTAAATATTTTTTTGGAATTTCCAGTTGTGAAAGTCGTGCCGCTGCTTGGTATAACATTCGCCATGAACACTGTGAAAATCCAGAGGGTTTACAGCTGGTCGATAACTCCTTCAAATTGGCTGCACCACGTTTTGGTTGGTCCTCCATTATAATACCCGACAAGGAAACTCTTATATCCGATGCTGGTAAATTAGCTGTATTAGATAGTTTATTAACACGTCTCAAGGCTGAAGGACATCGTGTTCTAATCTACTCACAAATGACCAAAATGATAGATTTATTAGAGGTGAGTAATTAAATTGTATTCCAAATGTAAAGAATTTTAAAATATTTAATTTTTATTTAAGGAATATATGTGGCATCGCAAACATCGTTATATGCGTTTAGATGGTTCCAGTAAGATTTCAGCACGTCGTGATATGGTGGCAGATTTTCAAACTCGCCAGGATATCTTTGTTTTCTTGCTTTCCACTCGTGCCGGTGGTTTGGGTATTAATTTAACGGCAGCTGATACGGTAAGTTTGAAATTTTGAAATAAATTCTAAATTGGCGACAATTTTTGATCTCTGAATATTTAGTTGTGACAAAAATTTTACTTAAATGTTTGTTTGTGGGAAATTTTTCTTAAAAATTAGTCGAAAAATTCTTACACTTTTAAAGTTGTTGCTGAAGAAGAACAAAAATTGTACAAATGATTTTCTTGTTTGGCAAACTTTAACAAACATTGTTAAACTTCTTTTACGTACATCTGACGTTCTCGGCATTATTTGTTGCAAAAAAAAAAAAAAAATAACTCACACACGGTTTATAATCATGTGAACAAACAACAATGAAATATTAAAGTCAAATTTCAACAAAAGCAACAAACAATTACACAAAGGAACACAACAGATGTAGAGGAGCAACTACTACTGTTGCTTCAATTCGATTTAAATCGTTTTGTTTTGCTGTTGCTGACAAAATCAAACTCTAAAAACAATACAATGTCGCTAAACTTGTGAACATAATCGTAACGACAAAATGGGACCTACATGAGAATGAAATTGATCGGAAAACAAAAAATTTAAGCAGCGACTATAAAGCAAAAAGGTAGCAGAGTTTTAAAGGAATCATTTTACAGAATTGCTTTTGGAATTGTCTACGTACATGAGAAAATTTATTTCAACTAACAAACATTATAAATCCATTACTTAACTTCCAATTTATTATTAAACTCTCAATTCTTTTAAAGCTCGTCTCTTTCTCGCTCTAAAGCAATAAAACACCTTTTTGTTAAAGTTTTTTTTGTTTTAATAAAAGGAAACGGCATTTATAAGAGGATTTGATTTTGGTTTAAAGCAAAAAATCTTTGATTTATAGACTGTGATTTTAAAAAGAAATTTAACATGTTTTTAACATTGAAAATTGTTTCTTATTTTGTGTTCATTTGGTATGGGAATTTATCGAGAAAATGTCTTTTTAATGTTTAGCAAAAATTTTTAAGAAAAACAAAAAATGAAAATCATTTCAATCCCATAAAAACAAAGCAATTAAACTGTTTAAATATCAGAAGATGCTATTGACAAATGTGTTCTTCAAGACTTAGTAAAGCGGAAGTAAGATGTTGAACATTATTTTAAAAACTTTTAGTAAACTATTCACCACTATCCAAGCTCTGTTTTAATTTCTGTTCTATTTCTGTTCCAGCTCTGTTCCAGTTCTGTTTTAGTTCTGTTCTAATTCTGTTCAAGTTCTGTTCAAGTTCTGTTCTAGTTCTGTTCTAGTTCTGTTCTAGTTCTGTTCTAGTTCTGTTCTAGTTCTGTTCTAGTTCTGTTCTAGTTCTGTTCTAGTTCTGTTCTAGTTCTGTTCTAGTTCTGTTCTAGTTCTGTTCTAGTTCTGTTCTAGTTCTGTTCTAGTTCTGTTCTAGTTCTGTTCTAGTTCTGTTCTAGTTCTGTTCTAGTTCTGTTCTAGTTCTGTTCTAGTTCTGTTCTAGTTCTGTTCTAGTTCTGTTCTAGTTCTGTCCTAGTTCTGTCCTAGTTCTGTTCTAGTTCTGTTCTAGTTCTGTTCTAGTTCTGTTCTAGTTCTGTTCTAGTTCTGTTCTAGTTCTGTTCTAGTTCTGTTCTAGTTCTGTTCTAGTTCTGTTCTAGTTATGTTCTAGTTCTGTTCTGTTCTAGTTCTCTTCTAGTTCTAGTTCTGTTCTAGTTCTGTTCTGTTCTGTTCTAGTTCTGTACTAGTTCTGTTCTAGTTCTGTTCTAGTTCTGTTCTAGTTCTGTTCTAGTTCTGTTCTAGTTCTGTTCTAGTTCTGTTCTAGTTCTGTTCTAGTTCTGTTCTAGTTCTGTTCTAGTTCTGTTCTAGTTCTGTTCTAGTTCTGTTCTAGTTCTGTTCTAGTTCTGTTCTAGTTCTGTTCTAGTTCTGTTCTAGTTCTGTTCTAGTTCTGTTCTAGTTCTGTTCTAGTTCTGTTCTAGTTCTGTTCTAGTTCTGTTCTAGTTCTGTTCTAGTTCTGTTCTAGTTCTGTTCTAGTTCTGTTCTAGTTCTGTTCTAGTTCTGTTCTAGTTCTGTTCTAGTTCTGTTCTAGTTCTGTTCTAGTTCTGTTCTGTTCTAGTTCTGTTCTAGTTCTGTTCTAGTTTTGTTCTAGTTCTGTTCTAGTTCTGTTCTAGTTCTGTTCTAGTTCTGTTCTAGTTCTGTTCTAGTTCAGTTCTAGTTCAGTTCTAGTTCAGTTCTAGTTCAGTTCTAGTTCAGTTCTAGTTCAGTTCTAGTTCAGTTCTAGTTCAGTTCTAGTTCAGTTCTAGTTCAGTTCTAGTTTAGTTCTAGTTCAGTTCTAGTTCAGTTCTAGTTCAGTTCTAGTTCTAGTTCAGTTCTAGTTCAGTTCTAGTTCAGTTCTAGTTCAGTTCTAGTTCAGTTCTAGTTCAGTTCTAGTTCAGTTCTAGTTCAGTTCTAGTTCAGTTCTAGTTCAGTTCTAGTTCAGTTCTAGTTCAGTTCTAGTTCAGTTCTAGTTCAGTTCTAGTTCAGTTCTAGTTCAGTTCTAGTTCAGTTCTAGTTCTGTTCTAGTTCTGTTCTAGTTCTGTTCTAGTTCTGTTCTAGTTCTGTTCTAGCTCTGTTCTAGTTTTGTTCAAAGTGAACAATTTGAACAATTCTATTTGTTTACCATTTTTATTTTATCCATTTCCTCCGTTTTTTCTAACTCTTCCACAAAAAAATTATCATAATATTGTTCAATTTCTTTAAACTCCAACAAATAATTTAAAAATTCTCCATACTCCCCACGCTCTTTCCCCACCAATGCAACTCTATCCAAAGCTTGAAAACCATAATCAGTAAACAAAATTTTATAATTTCTTTTCTCCAACTTTTCCACCATTTTGGGGAGTTGTAAAGGATGACATTGAAACTTAACTCCCCCCGTTTCATAATCCATAATTTCCACTGCTTCTGCTTGAATTTCCATAGCATCTTGAGATAATTGCCTTTCAAAACTTGTAAATTTCAAAGCAGTTTTAAAAGAAGCCAAGGCTTCTACTTTACAATTGTAATTAAAATGTTCTAAAACATTTGCATAACAAGATTTAAACTTTTTCATAATTGACCTTAAGGATTTCTTAAATAAAATAATACTGGTGGCCCGTACACTCAATAAAAGAGAGACCTTTTTGTGGAAACTCAATTGCAAAAGATAAAAATTTTTGTCGATTTTTTTCTGGCCAAAACATTCTTGTAATATTGATTCAATACTACTCCAGGGTATATTTTCCTTTAAGGCTTTAGCTATAATATATCTAAGTTTCGGGTTTTCTCGAGAGCTTACAATATCAGCAGCTTTGACTAACAATTGTAATCTTTGAGCTAGTTTATATTCTGGAGACGTTTGGTTTAAAATTGTTAAAGTTTCCTGCTTATTTTTCAAATTTTTTCCATTGTTATAGGGAAACTTACGGATATTTTTATCTAAAGTTTTAACTTTATTTTGATATTTGTTCTTGTAAAAGGGATAGAAATTTGTAAGTTTATTGGTATTTTGCAGGCGTAACTGTAATTTTCTTTTGTTCGTTGTAAAGGTATTGTTATTAAAATGTTGCTTTTTAGTTGTTTTTTGTTTTTCGTTACTTTTTAAAGTAATGTTGAGTTTTTGTTCTTTCGATTTGATTTGAGTTTCCGATTTTCGCTTAAAATGCATCATCTTTCTGCCATTTTTGATTTGCATGTTGCGTTTATCACTGCGCTTAAATATAAGAATGGATAAGGCCAAAATTCTATGACTTTAAATTTGCATTTTTTCTTTGATCAGTAAATATAATTTTAATTTTTTTTTAACTGTTTAATTTTGTATTAATTTTTTATTAGTATTGTATCAAAACTTTTGATATTTGAAATAGTTTTGTGATTTATTGGAGCTAGAGTTTCCAACTGTTTTGATTCATTTCTACAAATTTTTAAAGCATATTTGTTTTGCTTTATTTAAATTCTAGATCAATTCTGGTTCAGTTCTAGTTCAGTTCTAGTTCAGTTCTAGTTCAGTTCTAGTTCAGTTCTAGTTCAGTTCTAGTTTAGTTCTAGTTCAGTTCTAGTTCAGTTCTAGTTCAGTCTAGTTCAGTCTAGTTCAGTTCTAGTTCAGTTCTAGTTCAGTTCTAGTTCAGTTCTAGTTCAGTTCTAGTTCAGTTCTAGTTCAGTTCTAGTTCAGTTCTAGTTCAGTTCTAGTTCAGTTCTAGGTTCAGTTCCTAGTCAGTTCAGTCAGTCTAGTTTCAGTTCTAGTTTCAGGTCTAGTTTAGTTCTAGTTCAGTTAGCTTCAGTTTCAGTTCAGTTCTAGTTCAGATTCTAGTTCAGTTCTAGTTCAGTTCTAGTTTCAGTTTCTAGTTCAGTTTATAGTTCAGTTCTAGATTTCAGTTCTCAGTTCAGTTTCTAGCTTCAGTTCTAGATTTTTTTCAGTTCTAGTTCAGTTCTAGTTTCAGTTCTAGTTTCCAGTTCTAGTTCAGTTCTAGTTCAGTTCTCAGTTTCAGTTCTAGTTCAGTTCTAGTTCAGTTCTAGAATTCAGTTCTTAGTTCAGTTCAGTAGTTCAGTTCTAGTTCAGTTTCTAGTTCAGTTCTAGTTCAGTTCTAGTTCAGTTCTAGTTCAGTTCTAGTTCAGTTCTAGTTCAGTTCTAGTTTCAGTTCTAGTTCAGTTCTAGTTCAGTTCTAGTTCCAGTTCTAGTCAGTTCTAGTTCAGTTTATAGTTCAGTTCTAGTTCAGTTCTAGTTCAGTTCTAGTTCAGTTCTAGTTCAGTTCTAGTTTCAGTTCTAGTTCAGTTCTAGTTCAGTTCTAGTTCAGTTCTAGTTCAGTTCTAGTTCAGTTCTAGTTCAGTTCTAGTTCAGTTCTAGTTCAGTTTCTAGTTCAGTTCTAGTTCAGTTCTAGTTCAGTTCTAGTTCAGTTCTAGTTCAGTTCTAGTTCAGTTCTAGTTCAGTTCTAGTTCAGTTCTAGTTCAGTTCTAGTTCAGTTCTAGTTCAGTTTTAGTTCAGTTCTAGTTCAGTTCTAGTTCAGTTCTAGTTCAGTTCTAGTTCAGTTCTAGTTCAGTTCTAGTTCAGTTCTAGTTCAGTTCTAGTTCAGTTCTAGTTCAGTTCTAGTTCAGTTCTAGTTCAGTTCTAGTTCAGTTCTAGTTCAGTTCTAGTTCAGTTCTAGTTCAGTTCTAGCTCAGTTCTAGTTCAGTTCTAGTTCAGTTCTAGTTCAGTTCTAGTTCAGTTCTAGTTCAGTTCTAGTTCAGTTCTAGTTCAGTTCTAGTTCAGTTCTAGTTCAGTTCTAGTTCAGTTCTAGTTCAGTTCTAGTTCAGTTCTAGTTCAGTTCTAGTTCAGTTCTAGTTCAGTTCTAGTTCAGTTCTAGTTCAGTTCTAGTTCAGTTCTAGTTCAGTTCTAGTTCAGTTCTACTTCAGTTCTAGTTCAGTTCTAGTTCAGTTCTAGTTCAGTTCTAGTTCAGTTCTAGTTCAGTTCTAGTTCAGTTCTAGTTCAGTTCTAGTTCAGTTCTAGTTCAGTTCTAGTTCAGTTCTAGTTCAGTTCTAGTTCAGTTCTAGTTCAGTTGTAGTTCAGTTCTAGTTCAGTTCTAGTTCAGTTGTAGTTCAGTTGTAGTTCAGTTCTAGTTCAGTTCTAGTTCAGTTCTAGTTCAGCTCTAGTTCAGTTCTAGTTCAGTTCTAGTTCAGTTCTAGTTCAGTTATAGTTCAGTTCTAGTTCAGTTCTAGTTCAGTTCTAGTTCAGTTCTAGTTCAGTTCTAGTTCAGTTCTAGTTCAGTTCTAGTTCAGTTCTAGTTCAGTTCTAGTTCAGTTCTAGTTTCAGTTCTAGTTCAGTTCTAGTTCAATTCTAGTTCAGTTCTAGTTCAGTTCTAGTTTCGAAGAGTTCTGTTGAAGTAAGAAAGTAAACTCTATTGTTCCATTTTATTCCTTCAAACTGTTTTTAACACAAATTTTTGGCAATTGGATTTTTTCTAAAAATTTGAGAAAAGAAAACATCAAAATTTGAAATTAAATTTTACAAAATTATACTCAAGTACTTGTAAATTATTGAACAATTTTCAATAAGTTAAATAAATTTTTCGTGTAACAGAAATCTTTATCAAAAAAACTACATCAAAATTCTCCTAAATTATGCCTCAACTAATAACAAATCAACAGTATCCGAATTCTTCAAGTAAATTACCGGTTTTAAAATTTTCAATAATGTACATCGTTACAGACTGTCGCCCATAACCATTAATTCAAAAGCAAACAAAAATGTTTTGGGGGCAAAAGAGCCTCAGAAAAATAATCGCTCAAGCAACAAACATTACCCCAGCATTTACCGCAACTTACCAAGATTATCGGAATCTAAATCTTATAAAATTGATAGTGGTTTTATAAAAAGACAAGAAGATTTGCTGCTACAAGTCTATGCTAGTTTAGGAACTGGCAGTAAAAAGAGAACTTCGGGTGATGCAGTTATAAATGAGGAATATGAAAGATTGCAAAGGAAATATTGTCCAAAATTTAAACTGACAAATAGATCTAATATACAACAGACAAGTAAACAAGGTTTTGGCGAAATAAAACAAAATTCTAGGATGAGTGGTCAAACAACTAAGAAAATTCCTGAGAGAATTTTAAAAGCTGGTCTTAGTAACCCAAAGCCTAATTTAGTCATGCAAAAATCGCAATGGAATTTTAAGAAAAACATTGAGAATAAACAAACCAATTGCAATTCTTTCAAAGTTAAGGAAAAAGTTCTCAAGGTTCAAAATTTGAATGCTGAATCAGAATGTTGTAAAATACCGGATAAACAAGATGATTCAGATAAAACTTTAACGCCTGGGGAACAAAGTGTAATAAAATTAAATAATGCTGACTTTAGCAACAAAAAAGATTTGCAGTTGGAATCATGCCCCACTTTGGATAAATATCGTATTGGACCTGATAACATAAATTATTCAACTGATTCAAAACTTTGTTCAGTAATAAAAACAGTTTCCAAAAGTATTTCTAAATCCTTAATAACTGATGAAATCAAATACCCTCAACTGCAGCAAATATTTTACCACCAAACGATACCTAATCCCTCTACAAACTCCTATAACCTTAAAAACAAATTGGATCACCTTAGTCTGGAAATAAGACAAGCCATCATTCTGGGTAAATCTCCAGATGCCACTACCAATAAACTTTTGGCCAATGCCATTGAAAAAGCTTTACAGGAAAAATTTTCTTGGGATACCATTAATTCGGTTATAAAAAACATAAAAAATTATAATTCAAAACAGAAAATTCTACATCTTCTACAAATACAACTCCGTCAAAGGGTCTTCATTTTATGCACCGTACGCACCTGTAACTTTCCCCATTTACTTTCTATTGTAGACAAAGTAATGCATCCAGTGCGGGCACAATTTGCTCCTGTTCTTCAGCATTTCAGTCATTGTTGTGTTATTGAAGCGATAGTTCCTCAGAAATACCTGCAACTAAGTTCCAAACAATTTCGTGAAAATTTGGATTGTGATGCTAAAGTTTTAAAAGTGAAAAGGATCGATGTTGTCGATGAAGTACGCGGTGAAGTTAGTGTCCAATGTCTGCCGGTTTCAATGCCTAATACTACCAAGTTTATGGAATCTTTGGACTATAAAGTTTTGACTTCTGATTATGGTTTTCGCGCCAATAGAGAAATATTTTTGGATACACGGACGGGAGCGGAATATAGAAAATTAATTAATAATTTATTGCAAATACCAGATATTGAAACGATATCGGATAATGTAATATATTAGGAAAATTATGTTTTTAGTTTAAAATTGAAATTAATAGCAATGTTAAGTTCTTTTCACGGTTACGATTATATTTATGCAATAAAGTTTTTCGATTTGGGGAAAACCCTTTCCAGATCATTTATATTTCAGTTCGTTTACTTCTTGTTCAGTTCTAGTTCAGTTCTAGTTCAGTTCTAGTTCAGTTCTAGTTCAGTTCTAGTTCAGTTCTAGTTCAGTTTTAGTTCAGTTCTAGTTCAGTTCTAGTTCAGTTCTAGTTCAGTTCTAGTTGAGTTCTAGTTGAGTTCTAGTTCAGTTCTAGTTCAGTTCTAGTTCAGTTCTAGTTCAGTTCTAGTTCAGTTCTAGTTCAGTTCTAGTTCAGTTCTAGTTCAGTTCTAGTTCAGTTCTAGTTCAGTTCTAGTTCAGTTCTAGTTCAGTTCTAGTTCAGTTCTAATTCAGTTCTAGTTCAGTTCTAGTTCAGTTCTAGTTCAGTTCTAGTTCAGTTCTAGTTCAGTTCTAGTTCAGTGCTAGTTCAGTTCTAGTTCAGTTCTAGTTCAGTTCTAGTTCAGTTCTAGTTCAGTTCTAGTTCAGTTCTAGTTCAGTTCTAGTTCAGTTCTAGTTCAGTTCTAGTTCAGTTCTAGTTCAGTTCTAGTTCAGTTCTAGTTCAGTTCTAGTTCAGTTCTAGTTCAGTTCTAGTTCAGTTTTAGTTCATTTCTAGTTCAGTTCTAGTTCAGTTCTAGTTGAGTTCTAGTTGAGTTCTAGTTCAGTTCTAGTTCAGTTCTAGTTCAGTTCTAGTTCAGTTCTAGTTCAGTTCTAGTTCAGTTCTAGTTCAGTTCTAGTTCAGTTCTAGTTCAGTTCTAGTTCAGTTCTAGTTCAGTTCTAGTTCAGTTCTAGTTCAGTTCTAGTTCAGTTCTAGTTCAGTTCTAGTTCAGTTCTAGTTCAGTTCTAGTTCAGTTCTAGTTCAGTTCTAGTTCAGTTCTAGTTCAGTTCTAGTTCAGTTCTAGTTCAGTTTTAGTTCAGTTCTAATTCAGTTCTAGTTTAGTTCTAGTTCAGTTCTAGTTTAGTTTGTGTTGGACTTCGATCGTTCTTAAAGACCCAGTAAATAAATTGATAGTTCATGAACATTTATTT